ACACACACACACACACACACACACACACACACACACACACACACACACACACACACACATACAGTATAAAATACTTAATTACACACATTTGAGTAGATGTAATAAATTACTTTAATTCCTGTTTAAATGCAATTCATCCTGCCATACCTGCAGTGTCTTCAGACTTTGCCAGCAAATTAAAAGTTGAAGCTTAATCATTAAATTATTATCTTGTGTTAGATTTATTTATATATCACATTTAAACACTGCTTGTACCAATTAAATTAAATAAAAAGTAACACACGTTCTCTATCACCGTCATTAATCAGCAAACAAACAAACAAGCAGCAGCTTCATCTACCAGAGAGACTGATGTTACGTTTTCTCTCTTGGAAACAGAACAATGTGTTAAATTGTAGAGACTCGCCTCCAACACAAGTTGGGACTGAGACGAGTTGTATCAGCTGCTGCTCCTTCCTCCTCCTCGTGACTCCGACATGTTTACGTTTATCAGCGTGGTTCTCTCGTGTTGTGTCGACGATTTCAAAGTGGCATGCTTCTCATCTTTTATCTTTGTGAAGAGCTCCCACACTTTGGAGGACTTGGGTCGAACAGTTTTCTCTGCGTTGGTCATTTCTAAAATTTACTTATTTTCCTTTGAAAACAGCCTCTGCTCCGTTTCCTCCTCCCCCCTCGCTCTGTTCAACTTGCGCTGCAGAGGTTTCTTTTTTCCAAACTATTCAGTCAGTCAGCATTGACAATGAACTGCTTGTGAACAAACCGAAACGTCTCCGCAGCGCCGTGAAAGACGCATAATTGCACAACACAACGAATCGATAATGAAATTCGTTGCCAACGCTTTTAATCATCGATTTTTACCGATTTCATTGATTCGTTGTTGCAGCCCTAATTTAGTGAACACGAGGAGTGCCTACAACGGAGGAGCTTCGCAGTTTTAAATCCATGGATGCTTATAATCAATGATGGATTTGTGAAGGACGTCCAAACTCTTCATGTTAATAACAAAGTTCTGCTGACTGGCAGAGTAAGTAGTTACAATAATATACATGTAGATGTCCCTCAGCTTGTTACATGCTACATCAGCTAAGCTAATCGTTGCTACATTAAAGATCGCTGACATCTTTGAGGGCAGATCCTTAGCCAGACTCAACAATGTTCTGTGTGAGCTCCTCTGATAGAGGTCCTTCACATTTCCTTATTTTTGGGATTAAGTGAAAACTGTGCTTTGCCCAAACGTCTACCCGGTTGTAACATCCTCTAACCCAGCACGAAACAACCATTGCAATTTACTTAAAGAAAGAGGAAAAAAAAAAAACTTGAGAAAATTAACTAAAGGTAAACTGCACTGTATCTTTACCTGCTGCTAGAGACAGCCTTACAACATGGAGGATGTACCGGAAATGCCCCTGATGTTACGTCACATGGGAACTATGTATTGTGTGTCATGTTCAATCTTATTTTGAAAAACCGCGATAGAGCGAGTCCGCGATAAACGAACTGTGAAGTAGCGAGGGACTACTGTATACAGTAAGGGCAAGTCATCATTTGTTGTTGATTTAATGGATTTTTACAAATGTGAATTAAGGAAGATTTGGACATTTTGGCCAGGGGGAAACACTGACGGCTGAATACCGAGCCCGGTCGACCAAAACCACCCCCATCAACCTCACCAACCACTCCTACTTCAACCTATCTGGGCAGGTAATGGCTCCTGATCATCTGCATGATTGTTCAACACAACTAAGCTATGTTCAGAAATGCTGACGAAAGATGATCACGATTGTAATAAAATGCAAAGAAAAGACCAAGTTAAATATATGATTATCCATCCATCCTGGACAGGTCTCTAGTCCATCACAGGGACACATAGACAATCATTCACTGTCTCTCACTCACCTAGGGACAATTTAGAGTTACCAATCAGTCTAACATGTCTGTGGGAGGAAACTGGAGTACCTGGAGAAAACCCACGCATGCACGAAGAGGACATGCTAACTCCACCTAGAATGGAGCCCCGGCCAGGATTTGATCCAGCGACCTCACTGAGAGGTGGCAATTCTACCAGCTGCGCCACCGTGATCACATTAAATCACAACAGTATAAATGATCTAAAAACCTCTGTCACACTGAATGCAAATTAATACTCACACAGTCCAATTTCTAAAAGCTTCAAACATCAAAGCTTCTTAAATTTTCTTTTAGAAGGGATAGGCAACAAATGAAGTCTAACTCGAGTAGATCTTCTGATTTTGTGGTTGTTAAAGTTGCTAAATATACTTCTTGTTGAAAAAGGAAGGATATGTAAACAAACCCAGAAATATTTTGATGCTGCAGAGATGACATCAGTAGAATATGTGATATTTCTCCTTTTTTAAATGGAAGATGACTACTGGTAACTTGTTTCACAAGCAAGTGCTGATGACGTTCTTAAAGAACCATCAGAAGTGACTCCCAACAAAACAGATGACGCTGTTATTCAGCCTGCTGGTGTTCTTTCCATTTTGTTGCTTTACAATCTGGAATTTAAAAGGCTCTTCAGCTGTATCTCTTTATGTTTGGCTCAAGGGAGCAGCAGATGTCTATGATCATGAAGTGTCCATCTGTGCACAGTCTTATCTGCCAGTTGATGAGACATCCATCCCTACAGGTAAGAACCTCTGGTGAAATCTCCCAGATGCATCTCATTGTCACACATGATGACTTTTACAAGTCTAACGTGCTTTATGTAGGAGACATGACAAGCTGAGAATCCCCTTCACCCAGTTCTGCAGAGAAAAGTCTAAGCTCAGATAAAATGAGGGTTTGGACGTGCACGCTGTCTTCTGGGGAGAAAAAATGTCATTTTTTTATTCAGTGAGTGACACTAATTGGAAGGATTGTCTTCATTTTAATGTATCAACTTATATAACATTTTAAGACGTTTTGGGGGAGTGGTGGCGCAGAGGTTAGAAGATGGGCCTGTGATTGGAAAGTTGCAGGTTCAACTCCCGGTACAGTCAACGTCAAAATGTGGGTGGAAAAGGTGAAACACCCACACCTGCCTCCACCCTCGTGCACCCCACTGTGGGCCCCTGAGCAAGGCCCTTAACACCCCCCCCCCCCATCTGCTCCCTAAACAGGTCTCTCTTGAAAATGAGTTATTGTGACTCAATGAGACTACCTGTATAAATAAAGGCTAAATGAAAGACTATAGAAATGAGAAAAGTTTTAACACAGTTTTGAACAGTCTCAAGACAGCTCAAATGTTAGTGTTTCATCTCTGTCATTGAACAGTTTGTGGTAAAAACTCCAAAAATCATCAAACTTATTATTTGAGTGTGTAAACCATTAGAGATCCAAATCCCAGTTCAGTCAAAGTCCAACTCTGTGACTTTTTTTAACTTTGAATGATATGTCCGTATTGAAATATGTCTGAGATGTAGAGCTGATGTGTAATCTCTTACCCAAACTCTTGGCAGGAGAGGTCAGGGCTGTGGAAGGCACACCTTTCGATCTTAGAAAAGAAGTCCTGATTGGTGCTCGACTGAAGGAAGTTCCTGGCAAAGGGTTTGACCACAACTTCTGTCTGTCTTCACCCAGAGCAGAGTGGACAGAAAAACACGCTGCTAGGTTCCTGCATGACATTTTCTCACCCACATAAATGAACACATTTTTTAGATGTTTATCATTCATACGTAACACAAACAGAACAGATGAACTTAGTTGAGACCGGAATAAAACTTGTTCGTTCTAGGGTCTGTCACCCACCCAGTGGACGTGTTCTGGAGGTTTCTACGAGCCAACCAGGAGTCCAGTTCTACACTGCCAATTTCCTGGATGGTTCTATAGAAGGAAAGGGTGGTTTTAGATATTTGAAGCACAGCGCTTTCTGCCTGGAGACACAGAGCTGGCCTGACGCTGTCAACCAGGTATGTAGTATTATGAGAAATTGTCAGTCAAAAGGCTAATGCATGGAAGATACTGACAAAAGAAGTTAAAAGCCCAGAAGGATTGCCTGAATCCAATCAGGTTCTAATGCAGACCATTGATAGGTGTGTAAATGATCAATCAACTTCTATTCACTTTAGGCATCCCAGCCCTAAAATGTAACCTAACTTTAGAAACTTCCCCAATATTCCCTGTCCAAAACTTAACTTCAGCTTCGAAAAACTAATTCAACACACTTTTTTGTGTGCATGTGTATCTTGTTTATAGCCTTCCTTTCCAGACTGTCTCCTGCATCCCGGTGAGGAATACCATCACATCACTCGCTTCACCTTCACCACCGTCTAATCCAACATCATCAGTGGAACAAAAAAACAAACAAAACTGAGGTATATTTAGGTTCAAATTTGAATATCAAACATTTCTAATCCATAATTTTACAGTAAAATAATGTAACTACATGTTTATTTCAGTATTTTTTATGAACTGTACCACAAAATTGTTGCAGACCAAGCAGACTCGTCTGCAGCAGTGTCAGTCCCTGACCTCAGTAGGACCTTGTTAATGTCCCAAACAGCTAAAACTGCTCAGGAGCAGCTCAGCAACTCCATCAAACACTCCTGGACCTGAACTGCCCAGATCCTGGTTCAATCAGCTGCTGCAGGAGTTACGTTCAAATGTTGCTGTTTCCATTCTTTATTCTCTGTAAAATAAAAGTGGACTGTGATTCTTTCAGCGTTATTTCAAATTATCTAATCACAATTTACTTAAGGGTTTAATAGGTACTGTCTAAAAGGATATTGCAGCAATTTTAAATGGGGTTCTGTATAAATGATATAAACAATATCTTACCTTTTGTAGATAGCTCTCTGAACAAACTCATTTTTGACAAAGTTTAACTGACCAAAATCAATGGCAATAACAGCTAGGTCATACACAGCTTGGACCAAACTGGGTTGCTGCCATCTTAAAATAACTTCTCTAGTAAGAAGAAGGACTTTTTTTTTCTTTTTTTACTTCCCCCCGTGTCCTGTCCAGCATTGTGACACTCAGAATTATTGTCTGAGTAGTGTCAAGGTGATGCCCAACAGATTTACTTTCACAAGCAGAGCATTACAGCTGGCCTTAATGCTTCACTTGATATATAAATAAAACTTTATTAGAATTGCTTTGAGTTTGTTTCAGATGTAATGGACACGGGGATGAAAAACAAAGGAGTAAAGAAAAGCAGAAAAGTGGAAGAAGGGTTAAAAGGGAAAGAAGGAGATGGGAGTAGAGGAGAGAGGTATAAAGAGAACACAAATCAACATCAGTGAAGTCTACCTTTAGACCTGCAGAAAGAAATAAGACAAAACCGAGAAACCACAACAAAAAATAACATATGCTTATATAATGATACTTGTCATTAAAAAGTATTTTATACAGTACATGTTAATACAAGATGCATTTAGTGGCCACCGTAACCCGAGTGTGTATCTGATAAACACCTGACTCTAAACAACTGTGTGTGTATTTGTGTGTGTGCATGCTTGTCACTATAAGGGTTCTCCATAAGAATGTTCAATAGTGGGTGTGGGGAAACACAGACCCCCCCCTCTCGGTGGGCGCCGTCTCATT